TTCTAAGAAATATTCAGTTATGCTACCTTCCTTGCTGTTTGGTTACTTTGCTGATCAAATTCGAGCGTTTGTAAATTCCTTTTGACATCTAGTCCCCATACTTGAGCATAGTATATAAAAATGATCTAACCTAAGTGGAATAGAGGCCTTCTATTAATGTTGCCCAGTAGGGCAGTGGCCAGGGGCCACGTGTAGTAACACCATGACCTTAGTGTTTATGTCACCCACATTTTTGCTCTTGGAAGGTTGTGTATTTCAAGACTTCTTGCAAAAAGTTCTGGATACAAGACCTTACCAAGTATGTTTCCTTTCTGTTCTCTTACCCAGTGTTGATACTTCTTTTTGTATAGGTATGTTGTTGGTCTTTTAACTTACTTTGCCCTTGACTTTAGCTAAAATCCTTAGGATTGGGTATTTCCCTCAGCAATTTATTCTTATTCTTCCTAAGAGTTTGTCAGTTATCCTGTCCAGATATCTCTGAGGAAAAAAAAATTCTTTATTTCTATTAAATTTCACTATAGATTTGAGTTTCTTTTTTCGGTTATTAAGATTAAAAAAAATCTGGGTGGTAGCTTATTTAATTAATGATGCCTGTGAGCCAAGTGTCATCCTTAGAATCAATAAGTATGCATCCCGTGCTTTTATCTCACCAGTGACAGAACATTATAAGCAACTTAATGCTGGTGACAGATTTCCAAGGTTGCTTGTAGAGACCATTCTCTCCTCTGATACCAGTTAGATATATTAGTGTTTCAGCCCTCTGAGAGTTAATCTTAAAGTATTATTACAATAAAATATTAATAATATTAATTTATGGAACTTCTGGAACTTCAGTGACATTTTATACTACCACCTGCAAATTGTATAACAATTCTTTTCATATAATTATCACTTTTGAAATAAACCAACTATTTATTTTGGAATAAGGCAGGTATCTTTTTTCTTGGAAGAAAAATAAAGTCCTTGCAAGGTGTGAAATGGAGAGTAATGTTTTATATTATTTAAAGTAAAAGTATAAAGTAAGAGTTTGTTATATTGCTTTTAAAACTACTTTAGCAAGCTCCTGGTTTGGTTCTATGTACTTAATAAAAATCTGATGATGTAGGTCGTAACGATTTAATATTGAACATACATACTAAAAAGAACCTTTTGAAAAGAGAGAAAGCTAAGTGTCTATTGATGTTGTTTAATGTTATACCATTTACCAAGGTGGTGAATTCGTACATTAACAGTGTGTGTAGAGATTTTATCCATTTGTTAAATATGCGGCACTAAAATTGGACATGTATAGTTCTGTCTTGCTTACAAATAGCAAGAGAAGAGAATATGCCTGTGACATCATGTAATCAAGATGAAATGTATTTGATGGACCATAAATCAGTTAAGAGTGCAGGAGGAAACTATATTGTAGCTTTCCATTTAATGTGCTGATTTGTCCTGTTGAGTGTGAGTGTTTTGAAAGAAAATAATTACATTTTTGGGCTTCAAATTTCTTTCTTTAAAAAAAATGTATATAGGTGAAGTAGTACATAGTAAAAGTAACTTTTTAAAATATTTTTTTTTTATTTTATTTTGGTGTGGTGCTGGTGATGAAACCCATGGTATCAACCATGCTTAGCAATCTCCTTTCCATTGAAGTACATCCTGTCCCGGACCCTTTTTTCCCCCCTTTTGAGACAGAGTCCTTCTCTATGTAGCTCTGGCTGTCCTGGGACACTATATGTAGATCAGAATGGCCTTGAACTCAGATCCACCTGCTTCTACCCAACCCCTTCTTCCCAGAAGTGCTGGGATTAAAGGCATGCCCCTTACGCCCAGGTAGATCTATCTTATTTTCAGAGTGAAACAGTTTTCTTTCTCTTTTCAGTTGTCTGATTAATATACTGTTTAGTTTGTAAAATATTGTTGGACTACTTACTGAATTTGAAAATTCTACCTCATAGTGATTTTGTGTGAGGATCAGTGCCTCTGTATTTATCGATCCATTTAAGTCTCATAAGAAACCCTTGGTGGTAGTTTTTCAACCTCAGATCTGCCCACCATTGACTTTCTCCTATTTATTTGCTATTCTTTCTGTTTTCACTTGTCTAGCTTGGGTTCTGCGTATACCATTTCAATGTTTCTTTTATGAGTGCTGCAGCTTCATTGTCCTTCTTGCCAGGATACTAAACCCCAAACCTCTGAATTTTTTTAGTAACTCAAACATTTAATTAATTGTATCTGCATGAGTGCATGGTATGTGAATGCAGTGGCCACAGAAGCCAAAAGAGGGAATAAGATCCTCTAGACTCTAGAAGTCTAGAGCTGGAGTAGTCTAACTGTTCCTGCACTGAACTTGGGTCCTCTGGAAGAGTAGCAAGGGCCCTTAACCTCTGAATCATCTTTTTAGTTTTTTAGACAGGATTTCATGTAGCCCAGGGTGGCCTTGAACTCATTATTCAGCCAAGGCCAGCTTTGAACTTTGGTCCCCTTGCCTCTACCCCTGCAGTTACTTGCTTGTTAATCCCAGTCCATAGTTTGGAATGAAGAGAGTGCCTGTAGCCTTCGGTTCCTTCCATGTATAGATGTGGTATGAATGAAAAGACATGATAATAGGACCCACATTAGTTTCTTGTCATTGAGGCCAAATTTCTAGCACAAAGCGGTTTAAGCAGGGTTTAAGTGCTTCTTTTGGTTTACAGTTGAGAGGAATACAGCCCATCGAGGCATGTTGTCTGGAGTGCTTCGGTCCACGGCACCTGTCAGGCAGCACAGAAAGAGCTGGTGCTTGGCTAGCTTTCCCTCTCCCTTGGTTCAGTCCCGGACCCCAGCCCTGAGGTGGCGGTGTACAGAGCTAAGATATGTGTCTTCCTCTCTACTCTCTCATATACTCAAATGTGTCTCTCCTTAATGTCTTGAGTATTTCTTATTCAGTTAAGTCACCAGGCACAGGACTATGGATTGCTGGGGGAAAGGTAAAGGATATACTATAGAGGCAAAAATAAACATGAAGGAAGGTGTCATGAGACTCACAACAGACTACAGCTTCTGAGGGGCTGGTAGTAGGAGCTACAGCTACAGAGACCGAGTTTAAAGATGTGGTTGTGTAGACATGTCCGGTGGATCCAGTGCTGGTTTTGGCCTCCACTGTACCATTTTGTTTAACCTGGGGGCTAGCTTTAGTAAGTACAGTCTGCTTCTCAGACTGTGAACCTTACATCAGTGGCTGTTAGAGGAAAGACTCTAGTAAATGCCATCTGGAAAAAAGTACCTGGCAAATTATTGGATTCTAGCAGTGACTCATTTGACCAAGAGAACTAAAGCCATTGCTGTGATGCCTGGAATGACAGCTAACAACATACCCCAGTTACAGAAAATATGAGGCGGAAATTGGAAATAAGCTGTACATACTGTGTCAAAAAGCTGCATACAGAATGCTAAACTGAGACTGCTCTGTTGTGTCCTGTAATTGGATAGGTGAAGAATAAGGTTCTCGGATATACAAGTGTGAGTTTGCAAATTCTGACTGTGGACTTAGAGCTACTGCAGCAGCAGCTAAAGTGAGTCAACCAGTTTTCTTGAAAAATAAGCGAAGAACTTTAATTGGATATTTGACTACATGGTGGAAACTGCAACTTCATTCCTGTTCTGTCAGTTATTTCTAAATTTCACAAATGGGAGTTGTAGGTGCAAATTCTAAATCCAGGATTCTTATAGAAGCAAAGGTTGGTTGACACCTTGTTGTTCTAGCAGAGAGAGACTAAATATTGTCATTGGTTTACCAAATTCAGGATGTCACTTGCCTATGTGTTTGCTAATAATATTCTAACATTATGGAGGCCCCTGGAATGATAAAAGGATCTTTCCTACTTTCCCACCACTGATGAGGCTAGAACTCCAGAAATAAAAAACACTGCTTTTGGGGAAATTATTTTTAAAATGAAGTACAGTTAGGAACACTAGACATTATACATAAAACAGAATAAGACTGAAAGATGGAAAAAGGTAAATAGACTGGTTAGGTCTTTTGGGATCTGAAAAGTTACATAGAATTTAGTTCACTTTTTAAGAAAGAAAGAAACTAGAGCTCTGTCTATGACAAATGGTAATGAGATGCCTTTCTCTGTAGACTTGCCATGAGAGAAGGCTGGGTGAAGAGCTGGGGTATGCTTGTGTGGTTACTCTTTTTTCCTACTTAGTTAGGGGGCATCAGAGAAGACCTAACAGAGATTCAAGAAGAGGCAGACTGGAAGGATGGCTCAGCAGTTAAGAGCTCATGTTGCTCTTCCAGAGGACTATGGTTTGATTTCTATCAGCCACATTGTGGCTTACAACCACCTGTAACTCCAGTTCCAGGGCATTTGATGCCCTCTTATGGTCTCTGTGGGCACCAGGTATAGATGTGGCACACAGACATACATGCAGGCAAAACACCCATAAGCATGAAATCAAAAGAGGCTACCCTCTGTAGTGGCAGGAAACTGGGGAATAGTAATGAACATCCCTGATTTTTTAGCCATGATCTGAGTGGGGCCCAAGAGGAGGCTGAACTATTGGGTGCTACCCCTCAGCAGTAACTTGGAATCTTCCTTATGTGATGGCATGTGAGTAGGGAGCCTTAACTGAATCTCTGCCTTCCTTATTCACCTGGCAGTAGCTAAGCAGTACTCCTGTTTGCCAGAGCGGTTTTAGGAAAGGCATGCTATAACAAATCCCAAGACTGATAGTATCATGTCCAAAAGGTCAAGGTTTCAATTAAAAATCAGTTGGTATATGAAGAACTAGGAAAATCTCAACTCAGCGAGAGAGGAGGAAGCGGGGGGAGGGAGAGAGAGAGAGATTAAAAACAGTCAGTGCTGGCACAGATATGACACTGATATTAGAATTATTTGACAAAGTTTTTAAATTCATTATCATAAAACTGTTTTAAGATACAGAAATCATGCAACTACAGGCATCTGATTTTTGATAAGTGTCGAAAACATACTTGTGCTGAGAAAACTGTATCCACATGTAGAAGATTGAAATTAAAACCATTTACTCTATACAAAATTGAATCAAAATGGATCATAGATCTTCATGGAAAATGGGAAATTTGACACTGCCAGAGGGAAACATTTCAAGATATAGGCATAGTCAAGAGCTTTCTGATCAGGACTTCAGTGACTTAGGAAACAATTAATATCACGAATTGATGGATAGGGTTGCAGTAATTAAAAAAGCTGTTTCCAGCAAAAGAAACAGCAGAGTGAAGAGACACTCTCTAGAACAGAAGGATTTTCTTCTTCTTCTTCTTCTTCTTCTTCTTCTTCTTCTTCTTCTTCTTCTTCTTCTTCTTCTTCTTCTTCTTCGCTACATAGTCATCTAACAAAGGATTAATATTTAGAATATAGAGAATTTTAAAAAATACCCCCAAAAAGCAAATAATCCAGTCAATAAGTAGGGAAATAAATTGAACAAATACTTTTCAAATGAAGAAATATAAATGGCTAATGTTCAGCATCTTTATCCATCAGAGAACTGCAAATCCAAATTGAATTGAGATTTTTGTCTCACACAGTCAGAATGCCTATTGTCTTAGTTGGCTTTCTGTTGCTGAGATAAACATCATGATCCAAAGCAACTCAGGGAAAAAAGGGTATATTTGATTTTACAGCCTCTAGTCTGTTCCAAAGCAGGAACTCAAGGTAAGAACCTGGAGGCCGGAGCTGAAGCAGAGATCATGGAGGAGTGCAGATTGGTTAGCCTGCTTTCTTATACAACCCAGGTGGTACCTCTCACAGTGGGCTGGGCCCTCCTACATCAGTCATTAATCAAGACAATACCCCTATAGACTTGCCTATAGGCCAATCTATGCAGGCATTTTCTCAGTTAGGGGTCCTTCTTCCCAGATATGTCTAGATTTGTGTCAGGTTGTGTCAACCAGTAGTATACCTATCATCAAGAGAAAACAAAACAAGACAAAAACCCAAATGTTGTTGAGGGTATAGGGAAAAGGAATTCTGTACACTGTTGGTGGAAATATAAACCAGTTCATTCACTATCTAAATCAGTGGGGAGCTTCCTTAAAACACTACAAACATAAGTATTATATGGTCCAGCTATATGGCTTTTGGATGTTTATTACAGATTTGGGCCACAGCATCCTGTTTTGTGTTGTGTCTCTGTGTGTTTTAAATGTGGATTTAAGGGGTTAAGTTGTCAGGCTTACACAGTTAGTGATTTTACCTGCCAAGCCATTTCCCTGCCCCCAGTGTAAAATTCTAAGCATGTTAGGTAATTGACAAGAAAGTAGAGACAAAAAGAGAATAGAAGGAAAATAAGTTTCTGTGGATGTTAGTATTGATCTGTATTTGAAAATAATCAGTATAATTAAACACTGTTAAGGCAACAAAGAAAGTCTATGCCCCCATATTTACCTTGTCTGCTGGTTGTTTCAACTTGCTGTATCAGAAATGAAGTACATGTTTTCCCTGCTGTTCTTTAGCTTATTGCAGGAGTGACCAGGATACTACCTTCTAGAAGTAATGCCCACAGAAAGCGGAAGTTGTTCGACTGCTCGCCAAGCAAAACAAAAGCGCAAATCTCATAGCCTTTCTATAAGAAGAACTAACAGCTCAGAACAAGAGAGGACTGGACTACCAAGAGAGATGTTAGAAGGACAAGTAAGTCAGCATTGGTCAGTGCCCATTTTAAAGATGGTTGTCATGCTTGTAATGTAATTGAAATAGTTAATGCATGTGGGTTTCTAAAGCAGAAGAAAGGCTTACACTACCAAACCTTTAAAAGAACACAGTAAATTCAGCAGCCTACACAGAGATAGAATTAGATTTCTTTGTTTTTTTAAATTATTATTATTATTATAATATTTTGGTTTTTGAGACAAAGTCTCTGTGTAGTCCTTGCCATCCTGGAACTCATTATGTAGACCAGGCTGGTCTTGAACTCATGGAGATCCACATGCCTCTTCCTCCCTAGTGCTGGAATTAAAGGCATGTGCCACCACGCCTAGCTAATATTAATAATATATTTATAATAGTAACAAAGAGATACAGGTATGACAATATGAACTCATTTTATTCTTTGTACAGGTTAGTTGTCTCTAAGGTTTAGCCCTAGATTTCTGAGACAGGATATTTGTTTCTAATAGTCTCAAGAAAAGGGGAGAATTAAAATTTTGATGCTTTTTCTACTCTCTGGAGTGACTTAACCTGCCTTTGTCTTTGTCTCTGCTATAGTGAGTATATATGTAATACATGACTGATAACAAGTTTTGCTTGTATTTTTCTAGTGCCTTTGTAGATGTCAAAATGTTAGGATTTTTGAAAAGTATTATTGTGAAGTCTAGATAAAGTTTTTTTAAAATAATCATGAAGTATATATGCCTATATAAGTATGTACATATACGTTTTGTTGCAGGATATTTGATATATTGTGAACCCTGAGATTGTGTTTATTTATTGGAAAAACCTCTTTCTAGTTGTGATGTGGCTGTGCCCTAGCATACACCTTTAATCCAAGAGCTTTCTGCTTGAATATTGTAAACAGGTTCAAATAAAGTCAACCATAGGTCAAGAGGCAGAGCATGCAAATAGTTGACAGGAAGTGAACATAGGATTATTAAGAAAAAACCATAGCGGGTAAGAGGAAGTCAGGAGGACAGATAGGGAGATGCTTAGGAAGGAGAAGGAAGGGACATTGAGTTTGAGAGTTTTGTTTGAGGCAGCATAAGAGAAAGAAGAGAACTTTCTGGGACATTGGTGGAGGAGGAAGGTCAGCTGGGTGCTTTCTCTGCCTTTTTGTGCTAGCAGACTTTTACCCCAGCATCTAGCTCCTGAGTCTTTGTTGGTAAAATCGAACAATTGAGATTTAGTCAAAACAACTTTTGTAACCTTTTTTTTTTTTTTTTCACAATTAGACTGTATCAGCCATAGTGCTGTAAGATAAAAAGGCTTGCATCTGAGAAATTGGCCTTCATGAATGCTGGATCTTATTAGAACTGTGTAAGCAACTTCTTGCAAATGACTTCTAGTATATAAATTCTATAGGGGCAGTAGGTGTTCACCTAGAAACCCATGCCTGCCACAGAGTAGATATCCAGTTGATACAGTGGGAAAACAATTGTTACACTGTATTTAAGAAATGATGCTGAAAGGGTCACCCTGGTTAGTACAAGTTGTTTTTTACAGGCTTTTTTTTTTTTGGCTACAATGCATATTTTTCCTTTATTGTTTTGAGAGGGTCTTGCTGTATATAGGCCAGTCTGACCTTGGATTTGGAATCCTTCTGTCACAGCTCCTCATGTACTGGGATTACAAGGCATGGTGCATCTTAGCTAGCTTTTGCCTAAAGCCTAAATGCTTCTGCTATACAGTTGGTTGACTCTACAGGTGTAAATCTTGTGACTATAGAGGGTCAACTCTGTCTGCCCTTGTCTACTTTCTATAAAAAGTTACATTTTAGTCTAGTGAGGGTTATAAAAATCATAAAAAGAGCTTTGGCCGGGCGGTGGTGGTGCAGCACTCGGGAGGCAGAGCCAGGTGGATCTCTGTGAGTTCGAGGCCAGCCTGGGCTACCAAGTGAGCTCCAGGAAAGGCGCAAAGCTACGCAGAGAAACCCTGTCTCGAAAAACAAAAAAAAAAAAAAAAAAAGAGCTTTGACAGTATTTACTTTGCTAGGTGATTGTAACAAAGTACCATAAACTATGTGGCTTAAACAACATAAATTAATTTTTCCATAATTCTGGAGGATGAAATCCAAGATTAAGGTATGGAAGGGTTTCCTCTTAGCATTTAGGCATCTGTATTGGCCTGCTCTTAGGGTTCTGGCAGGATATACCTCAGCTGCAGCCACTAAGAGCACCCCCTGTGTGCATTCGCTACATTTCCTTATAAAAGGCGGGCCTTGTACACCTCTCATCTCATTTTCTTCCTTTGTTCTCATCCCCAGGGACCAGTCTCTACCCCCTTCTCTGCTCCCTTCTCATCCCTTCCCTCAAGAAACCTCCCACATGGGCCCTGTTACATGGTGTGTTGCCTTCCTGAAGTTTTTAAAATACAACACCTCCTAAGGCCTTACTTGTAGCTGTAGGTGATTGCTACCTTTATGCATCCAACATTATCTTTCCTCTTTGCATGTTTCCCTTAACTATTGTAAGGCCACTGGTCATAATTAATTAAGATTACCATTATAACTGCATTTTAATGGTCCCTTCAATAAAGATCTTGACTCTTACTATAGTCACATTCAGGGGTATTCAGGTTTGAGACATAATTCATCCATTTGAGAGAGTAAAACTAAACTGTGTGGTAGGATTTCCTTGATGGAAGTGTTATTACCTTTGATAAAGGTACCCCAAGGTTATTGTAACATGTAGGCAGTTAAACATGATTAGTATGTCTTAGTATTTAAAATGTAGCTTAAACAAGAACATAATTACATTGACATTTAAATAGTCATATGTAGCTGGTGGCTACTAATTGGACAGTATAGGTAAACAATCTAAAGTGGTTCTTAAAAGGTTTTTGAGCCGGGCGGTGATAGCACATGCCTTTAATCCCAGCACTTGGGAGGCAGAGGCAGGCGGATCTCAGTGAGTTCGAGGCCAGCCTGGGCTACCAAGTGAGTTCCAGGAAAGGGGCAAAGCTACACAGGGAAACCCTGTCTTGAAAAACCAAAAAAAAAAAAAAAAAAAAGTTTTTTGATTTACTCACATTTCTAGCAGTGAAAAATTCTACTTTGTTGGCATATTCTAGAGTTACTTCCCACATGAGGTGAATTTGTTCTTAGTGTTGTCTTCCATTGTGATGTAGTATAAGGTGGTAATTGTATCTCACAGTAGGCATTTCAAAAGGTAATTCGCAGTTCTTTCACCTGAGCATCCTAGACCTGTGTACTACTCTCCTGGCTCTCTGAGTTTCCCTTGTTAGCTAGACAGTTTGATAACTGAAGTTATTTGGAGTGGAACTAACCAGCATGAGATATGAGTGGCCACGCTGACCTTCCCTTTACAGGAGGGAAGAAAGTGTAAGTGTTGATACTGCAGCTGGCATGGTAGGTATAAGTGGACTTCTGTGGGAAGTCTTCAGAGATGTGCTGACTGTCGGTAGTCTGGATTTACAGGAGTGATCACTTTAGATACAGTGTTTTGCAGTGTTCTTTTGGTTATTATGGAATAATATCAAAAAAAGTGAAGGTTAATCGCCATGATACTGTATTAGGTTAATGTTCTATATCTTCATTTGTAAGTGTAAAGTTCTTTAGAGAGACGTTAAGATTACCAGTTCTACCAGATTCAGTGTTTAAGCTAGCATGTATATATTTTAAATAGTTTACAAAATTTATGGGAGAACATGTGATTATTGAAAAACTCAAATTGTGGAAATGTTCACTGTTTTTTGAAATTTATAGTCCTAAGAAGTTAACCTGAGGTGTAATCTAATAAATATTGTGTGTATGAATATTTTTAAAATTTGCAACTTACCAGGTCTCAACTCAACAATTGGTGTTGAATATAAACTTGAAAAGTCACTTGAAGATTATACCAATGTTACTTGAATATTGGAAAATTAATATAGAAGTATTTGAGAATATTATTTTTGAAAAACACTTTTTGTGCTGGGGAAAGGTGGGGCACACATGCTAATTATGTAGATAGAATCCTTGTGAAGATTAGAATAGAAAATATCAAATAGTCTATTTATTAATAATGTTCAGGAAAAGTAAATTATTTTGTGAACTTATTTAATGACTTGCAAGTGTTCATATGTTTAACTTGGAATTATGTTGTAGATGTTGCTTCCTGCTTTCTTCACTCTGCCTGTTAGATAGAAACTGGAAGTGAGAGGGGAAATGTGCAAAGGTATGAAGGATGTGACTCTACTACTAGACAGTTTGTTCTTGTAGGCAAGATTTTCTTTTCTTCTCTTCATAATAGTCTTAGTTATAGAGTTTTAGGAAGTTACTAGTTAATTTTGGTTGAAGCACAGTGGATCTAATTAGGTGATGAGGCAGATCTCAGTGTATAGCCCATTGCCCATTGAAATAGTGGTTTTTTTTTTTGTTTGTTTTGTTTTTAAATAGTGTGTGGTAGGCTATTTGTAACATAGCTTCACTTTTGGAAATGGCTTTGCTTCTCTATGAATTTGGAAATTTTTGAATAAAGTAAGGTCATGTTCCCTCTGTGTCAATGCAAAACTAAGCTTTTCCTCCAAAGGGAAAAAGTTTACTCTGAGTCAAATATATGTGACCAAGGCCTAAGAACACAGATTATGTTCACCTGAATAACTTGCTCTAGTGTGGAAGAGGGTACAAGATCTTTTGAGTCACATAACAGAATGACATGTATCGGTGCATTGGTCAAATATATTGTTGGGGACATCTGGCAGGCAGGCTACAGCAGAGAAGGGGAGTCTTTGCTGTGGGTTTCAGGTGTTCTGACATTCTTAGCTTTAAGGTTGCTGGATGCTTGCGGTGTGCCCAGGGCATTCTAAAAGGTTTACCTAGCTGCTGTTAGGTCGGCTACAGAGGTTGATAGTAAATGGCTGTTCCAGATG